CCATGGATCTTCCTTCTGTTACTGCAGATTAGTTTGCATTTCTAGCATTTTACATAAACAAAATCAAACAGTAAGTATTCTTTCTAAATTTTGTTTTTTAATCAGCCTAATTATTTTGAGGTTTACCATGTTATTCTATGTATGACTAGTTCATTCTTTTTATAGCTGAACACTATTTCATTGTATGGATATACCATATTCACATACTCATTTACCTGCTGATGAAGATTTGGGTTGTTTCTAAATTTTAGACATTACAAATAAAGCTGTCCGAAACAGTAGTGTTTGTATGGACATATGCTTTTAGTTCTCTTCATTAAATTCCTAGAAGTAGAATGGCTGGGCCATGTGACAGAGGTGTGTTTAACTTTACAAAGCTGTCAAACTGTTTTCCAAACTGATAGTAACATTTTGCACCTCTCCTGACAGTGTATGAGAGCTCTACTTGCTCCATAGTTTCTCCAGCACTTGGTATGTTAATCTTTAAACATTTAGATATTCTAGTAGGTCATCAACATATCTTACTATGCTTTCATTTGCCTTTTTCCAATTACTAATGATGTTGAGCATCTTTTCATGTGCTTATGCACCATTTGTATATCTTGTTTTTGATAGAGTGTTCACAGATAATGTTTATTTTAAAAATTGAATAATTTTTATTTATTTATTTATTTTTTTGGAGACAGGGTCTTTCTCTGTCACCCAGGCTAGACTGGAATGATGTAGTCATGTCTCACTGCAGTCTCAACCTGGGAGCAAGCCATCCTCCCACTTCCGCCTCCCAAGTATCTGGGACTGCAGGCACATGCCACCATTGCCGGCTAATTTTTGTATTTTTTGTAGAGGCAAGATTTTTTCATGTTGTCCAGTCTGGTTGAAACTCTTGGGCTCTAGTGATCCACCCACTTCAGCCTTCCAAAGTGCTGAGACTATAGGTGTAAGCCACTGCGCCTGGCCTGGTTTGTTTTTTTTTCATTATTGAGTTTTGAGAATGCTTTGTAAATTATGAAAATATTTTCTCCTAGTCAGTGGTTTGTTTTTCCATTTTCTAAATAGTCTTTTCACATAACTTAGTGATGATTCATTCTTTTTTTAGATAATCTGCATATTCACTGTCTATTTCAGTGTTGGATTTGCCATTACCATACAGTTCGTGTTTCATCTCAGATGTTGTAGTTCAGTTTGGGTCTTTTCCATCTTTTATGTCTCTGCTTAACGTATTCAACCTTTCCTCTAGCTTCTTGAGCATGCAGAATACCCTTACAATAGCTATTTTAACACCCTCATCTGTTTATTTAATCATCTGGGTTACTGTCATTGGATTGATTTTTTTTTTTCTCATAATAGATTGAGGTCTCTTTCTCCCTTCTGAGGTGGTTTTCTTTACATGCACATGCTGCTTGTAAAGAAAAATTAAATTGTAAAGAACTTCAGCACAGAAAAGCTTTCATTTGTTAATGTTGTCCAATGTTGGCAATGTTTTGTAGAGGCTGTCTTCATGGCCTAAGATGCAGTATCAGCTGAATACTTAAGGGGAACTGTCAGCACATCTCAGGAGTTCCCTCTCTCATTGGCCTTTCTTTCTAGAATACTACCCCTCGAACTCCAGTCACCTTGGTCTCCCTAGACCATCAGCTTTGTCTCCTCAAATCAGGGAGTCCACTAGGCTCCATCTGGGTGCCGCATCCTGTTGTGGCCTAGAAATTTACTCAAGGCTGTAAGCTGGGGCAATCAAAAGATGTACCCCGTTTTCCTGTTGATATAGTTTGGATATTTACCCCACCCAAGTCTCATATTGAAATGTAATTCCCAATGTTGGAGGTGAGGCCTGGTGGGAATGATTGGATCTTCAGGGTAGATGTTTCATGGATGGTTTAGCATCATCCCTTTGATGCTGTCCTCATGATAGGGAGTGAGTTCTCATGAGGTCTGTCGTTTAAAAGTGTGTGCCACCTTCCCGTCCACGCTCTGTCTTGCTCCTCCTCCTGCCAGGTAATGTGCCTGTTCCCCCTTTGCTTTCCACTGCACTTGGAAGCTTCCCAAGGCCTCTTCAGAAGCAGGTGGTGCTATGCTTCCTTTATAGCCTGCAGAATCATGAGCCAATTAAACCTCTTTTCGTACAAATTACCTAGTCTCAGGTATTTCTTTATATCAGTGCAAGAACAACTTAATATAGCTGTCTTGCAGGAATCATAGTCCTACATTGCCTAAGCGTCCAATGTCTTGAGAACCATTGCTTTGTTGTTGTTGTTGTTTGATTTTTCAGTTGTTTCAGGTAGGAGAATAAAGCTGGCCCCTGTTACTCCATTTTGGCCAGAAGTAGATATTCCATAGTTTCCTTAGGTTGTACAATACTTGGTGTTGAGGTTGGGGGATGAATGTTACTAAGGTTGAAGGGGTAGAAAGAATAGAAAGAGTAAAGAATGTTGAATGCCATGTAAGTAGAAGGGATTTTATTTTGTGGTTGGTGAAGGGGGAACTGAGGAAGTATTTTAAGTCTAGAAACAGCAGAGTAAGGCTTGATAGCCTAATTAATGTTAACACATCCTTTTTGAAATGCAGTTGAATTGTATTTACCTCTGATACTAGAAGGCAGTTGATAGAGAGTAAGGAGTTGTGATTGCTGAGCTCTGGACCATATTCTGATCCTATCTGTGTGACTCTGAACAGATCAGTTTATTACTCTTAGGCCTCAGTTTCCATGTCTGTGAATTAAGAATTGTAATACTTACATCCATACCTGTTGATTGTAGTGAATACTTGCTGAGAGAATGTATGTTAAGTGCCCAGTATGCTGTCTGGCAAACAGTAAGTCTTCAACAAAAAGGAGCAATTATTAATTGATAAAACCAAGGCTCAATGATTTTGTCTTGAAGAGCAAGTAAGGAGCAGCACTGAGGCTCCAACTCAGCTGTCAGATGGTTTTCCATGCCTATGATCCTTGAAAGCAGGATTTCATCCAAGAGAGGGGGTAATGACTGGTTGAGGCAAATAGCCACAGGGCCACAAAGATACACATAGTGGTGGTGGAGAAGTTGCCATGCCCACCAGCACTGCTTTACCCAGCAGTTATATCCCAACCTGACATGATTTTCTAACAATGAATGTTGAAAGCTGTTGAATTTCATAAACAAAGAGTTGCATTTAACCACCTGTCTGTCAAATATAGATTCAGAGCTAGACTGTGGTGTGCAAAGATTTATGGTCATATGTTTTAACATAATGTTTTGGGAAAAATTGAATTGTAAAGAACTTCGGCACACACACACACAAAAGCTTTTATTTGTTTATGTTCTCCCATGTTGGCAAGATTCTGTATAGATCATGCTCATGGCCTAAGATGCAATATCCAGTATCCACGGTATTCCCTATATGTCTGATTGGAGGACAGGTACTCTTCCATCAATTCTCAGATCAGATTTTGTATTGATCAGATTAAAGTTTAATTGATCAGATTAAACTTTTAACTGACTTCCCCAGACAGATTATATATTTTTTTCTTTTCTTGATTTCTCTGCATTTTGCAAATATCATCATCTTCATTACTGACTGGTTTTATTTTATCTTTCTGTTTGTCTGTGTCACCCACCAGACTGCGAACTCTATAATGGTAGCTATTACTCATTTGTTCACTGTAGTATCCCTAGAACCTAGGACAATTTCTGGATTCTAGGGATACTACTGTTAATGCTCAATAAATATTTTAGATAATGAATGAATGAATAGACATTAGGAATAGGAAGTGAAGTGATATACATACAGAGCCCTGCACATAGTAGGCATTCGCCTTTTCTCATTTGCCTCCCTTGTGCTAGCCTGAGCTTTCAGGGAGTATATATGACATCTTGCTTATTTCTACATATTTACCTTGATAGGTTGTTAGAGAACATAGCAAGGACTCATCAGATGCTGAATGAACAAACACACAAGCCAGGAGCCTTAGTTACTCTATCTGTTGCATGAAATGGTTGAATTAGATTTCGTAGTCACTCAACCAGTATCTTCTGAACATCTACCATGTGTCAAGCACTGAGCCAGGCCTGGCATGGTGGCTCACGCCTGTAATCCCAGCACTTTTGAAGGCCGAGGCGGGCGGATCACCTGAGATCTGGAGTTTGAGACCAGCCTTGCCAACATGGTGAAACCCTGTCTCTACTAAAAATACAAAATTATCTGGGCATGGTGGCGCGTGCCTGTACTCCCAGCTACTCAAGCGCCTGAGGCAAGAAAATCACTTGAACCCAGGAGGCGGAGATTGCAGTGAGCCAAGATCACGCCATTGCACTCCAGCCTGGGCAAAAAAGAACAAAACTCTCTCAAAACAAAACAAAACACACTGAGCCTCCATCAATTATGGAGAAAGTAGCATTAAGACTACAGACTAGTAGAATTGAGACAGGGATTATAATGAAAGGCAAGAAGTGAAGCAGTCACATGTGCAGCTGAGACTGACAAGGAGTGAATGAAACTTAAGCCCAGACCTTTCCTATAGGATGGGCAGGTTTTGGTAACTGGTGCAGCTACAACTATGAAAAAAAAAAAAAAAAGACTCAGATATCAACTCCTCTACACTATATTCAGCCAAAAGTAAACTTTTTCATTCAAAATGCTCTAGGTCTCTCTCTGAATCCCTTTTAGAATACCAATTCCTTTATTGGAGGTTGTGATATTTTATGTGTCGACTTGACCAGGACAGATATTTGGACAGACATTATGCTGGGTGTGTCTGTGAGGGTGTTTCTGGATGAAATTAACATTGGAATTGATAGCCTGAGTAAAGCAGATGGCCCTTCCTGATGTGGATAGAACACATCCAATCAGTTGAAGACCTGAACAGAACAGAAAGGCTAAGTGAGGGAACTGTTACTGCTGACACATGAGCTGAGACACTGATCATTTCCTGCCTTCAAACTCCAACTGAAAAACTGGCTCGTCTTGGGTCGTGAGTTGGCTTTCAGACTGGAAGTAACACCATTCACTTTCCTATTCCTCAGGCCTACAGAGTCAGACTAGAACCACACCATTGACTTTCCTGGGAATCCAGCTGGCTGACTTCAGATCTTGGGACTTCTCAGTTTTCAAATCATGTGAGCCAATTTCTTATAAGTCTCTTTACACGCACACACACACACACACACACACACACACATTCTGTTTGTCTACCTATCATCAATCATCTGATCTATCAATCATCCTATCTATCATCTCCTATTGGAGAACCCAGACTAATATAGAAGGTAAGAAAAAACCTACCCTTTCTTGAGCTGAAACATGATAGGTACTGGGCTAGGTGCTTTATAACCATAACCTTGTTTAGTCCACATAACACCCATCTGAGGGTGGATGGAATTTCTAGCTTTTAGATAGAGGAGAGACACACCATTCCCAAGGTCACACAACAAGCAAATTACCGAGTCAGGTTAAAACCCCATTTCCTCTAGTTCAATACTCCATGCAATTTCTCCTCCGCTCAACCACTTCTTTCTGTACATGTTTTGTTTCTCTGTTAGGCAGTAAGTTATTTATGGGTAAAAACTAAGTCTAATTATTATTATTATTTTTTATCTATTCATCTTTAATTCTTGTGCCTAACATGGTATCTGGCACACAAAGGTGAGGAGGGGACGGTGGCCTCAGGAATTATTATATGATCTACCTGGGTCATGAGGCTTCTCTTCAGGGGAAGACTTCAGAAGCCACCCAATCCTTTCCACCCCTCCCTTTATCCTTATTTCTAGCCTGATTCCCTTTCTTCTCCCTGCTGTTAGTAATTATTATATGGCATGTATTCCCCCAGGAATTTCAGGGCATCCTAAAGTTTGCACCAAAAGGTTGGGGAGCACACCTCCTCAGGATACACTTCCACAAGCCCATTTTGGCACCTTGGTTTTCCTGCCCTCTGGGCCTGGAGCCAGATCTGCAGTTGGGCTGGAGTACGGAGGAGAGAGTGTGAGCTGAAGAGCACACGGAGACCCTGACAGGCTCCTAGGGCCCCAAGTGGTGGAACTCTGGCTATAAATAGAAGGAATATGAAGCAGAATGTCTTTTTAATATGCACATGGAATTCATTTATTTAATGAAGAATTTTCCTGGAACAGAGAGCTTGCTGTCAGAGCTCAGCTATTTTTGAGAAGGATGTGAAGGAAAAACTCCAGAGAATTATTTGCTGTTTGGATTTATGCTTTTAAAATAGGTTGTAATAAAAAAGCAAAACTATAGGAGCAGAATTAAGATCAGTGTTTGCCAAGGGCCAGAGGTAGGTGCAAGCAATTGACTGGAAAGAGGTGTGAAGGGCTTTCTGGGGTGATGGCAGCATTCTGTGTCTGCTGTGGTAGTGGCTGCATATGTTTGTCAAAACTTGCAGAACAGTTCACCTAAAGTGAATGGATTTTACTATATGTAAATTATGCCTGACTTACAATGTGTCACCATGTCCTTTCAGAGGGAGAAAAAGGACTGGGGGAGGAATGCTTTCAAACACCTTTTTTTGGGTGGGATTCTCTGTAGCTTCTTTACATTATTTATTCTATTTAATGCCTGGCAAGCACTATGAGATAGAGGTTATTATCCACATTTTACAGTTGAAATACCTGAGGTTTTGAGAGCCTAAATTAATTGTCCAAGGTCACACATCAGCTTCTAGTGAGAAGTAAGGAGGTTTCAGAATCCCACAGTGACTTCCCTCCACTTACCTGATGTTCATGGAGATGGAGCTTAGAATTAAAGCCTTGAAAATGGAACTGAGTTTTTGCTCCTTGAAAAAAATGCTTCAGACAGCTCCATGCTTTCTCTCCAAAATGTTCCCCCATTCTGTGTTCTTTGGCATGTTTCTGGCTGCATCTGGGAAAAGGTCTTAATAAGGTGCTAATGGTCTTTAACAGCTTTATTTAGTACGCTTCGATCTCCCTTTTTATCAAACATGCTTGGTTTTGGGCATACTTTGAAATCTTGAAGGGATGGGATGTGTTCTGAAGGACCTGCTATCATTCCTGGATCCCATTCCCATGGCTGGCATCATTAATCAATCATGATGCTCTATGAACCCTGACTTGCCCTTGTGATGCTTCCTAACATGGTCCTCTCGGCAGTAATTACTAACAGATTTGAGTTGGCATTCAATATATCAAAGCCTAGTTTGCCTTCTGCCTGTGTTGCTAGGCCTAACCTAGGTACATTTATAAATTGAGGGTGAAATCTTATCCTTTTCACTTCTTGGACCTGGAACCCTGATAAGAGTTCATGTCTGGATCTAGGGGCAAAAGTAGAAAGAAAGAACAGGGATTAGAAAATTACAGTTGGGTTTGGAGATCAGCTCCGTACCCCTTCCCTCTATCTCACCCCAACATTCGTTTTCTTCATTTGTGAATTGGGGATAATAAAATAATAGCTATCTAAAGGTGTTGAGGTGAAGCTTAAACTGAATGAGATAGCACCCAGGAAACAGAAGCTCATTATGTGCTAAGAACTTTCACATGCAGTATCTTGTTCAACCTTACAACGAAGTTATGCATAGGAAACTGAAATCTACGTTATATAGATATACCTAATTTGTTCATGTCACACAGTAAAGGGTAAAGTTGAGAATTGAACTCAGGCCTGACTCCAAAGCTCATATTGTTAATGTCAAGCTATACTGCCTCTTGTTCAGGCATGGAAGAAACAGTATTTGGGATGGTCCCTCCTTTATTCCTGGCCTGAGAGGATGGGCAAGGACTCAGATCAGGGACTACCTCCACATTAGACTGCTGCAGCCACTGAAGGGGTGGAAAAAGTCCAGTGTGGCAGGAAAATCTGGGAGTGGTGGCAGGTACAGGTACCAGCACATGCCTGTTTAAGAACCTTATATCTGGAAATGGTTCTTTCAGGGTCCTGTTAGTCTATTTGGTGCCTTTGTACAAGTTAGACAAAAGTGCTTCCTTTGGGGAGATGAATCATATAAAGTTACTCCCTTTGGAAGAACACAGCTCAAAAGAATCAAGGCTGAGTGTTTGGATTAAAAAAAATGGGGCTCTTTCCTCTGAGCAGAGGAATTAGTACAGTGTGGACTGGATCTCAGCAAGCATTCAGTCCCTCAACTAATGTGTCTGTGCTGAACATAACTTATACAGCAGTACAAAGTGGTCCTGGGTCTTGATGGGAAAGGTGTAGTCTTAAGGAGTGTAGGAAGAGGAAAAATATCAATGTCTAAGGGGAAATTTTGTTGGGGAGTTAACATCCTTGGCCTGAGCCAGAATTGGAATCCAGCTCTAAACAATTCCAAAGCCAGTGTGACTGACCATGAGAATCACTTGAGGGCTTGGGGGAGTGGTCTTGGTAAAAAGGCAGGTTACCTGCTCCTTCTCCTCAGTAATGTAACTTAGTAAGTCTGGGGTGGGCAATTCTAATGATCAGAAAAGTTTAGGAAATACTGCTCTATCTCATGCTTATCACACTGTATTGTAACTGTCTCTATTAGCAACCTGGTTACCATCTGGTCAGCTGGACTGTGAGTGTTTCAAGGGCAAGGCCATGTCTGATTCAATTTCACATCTATAGCACGTAAAGCAAAGTCTGGCAGAGCAAAGAACTGATCCATCAATTGAATGACATCATGGCCAATCTACAAATTCTGACTTACTTGTCATGCTATTATCACATCTGCCAAGGCAATTAAAACTATGTGTATTTCTTCCTGCCTCCTCACTTCTTCCTATTCCCCTAACTACCATCTATTACTCAACCTGCCCCCTAAAAGGACAGGCCTGCCGCTATGGAAGATGCTTTCAGACTTAAATCTAGAACTTGGCATGTTTCCTGATATCCACACCTATGTTTGGGTCTGGGCTCCATGATGGTGCATATTTGGGCCTCATTTTATAAAATGAAACAGTTTTACCACATGATTTCTGAGATCTCTTCCAACTCTGACGTGCTAGAGTCCTCTGACAGGAATCTAGAGTTTCTGGCAAATTCTGTGAGATGTGAAGGCCTCCTTCGAGGCCTCCATATTGGCATCCATCAACTTGTTGGTTGGAGACTAGGTGACGAACAGCTGCAGTCTGGGATTTTCCTGCGGTCGGCTTCACTGGTGGGTAGGCTTCGATTACGGAGCATGTTCCAGCAGGCTCAGGGCACCCCTGTGGGCAGGTCAGTAAATACTGGCGGCTTGATGATGTCTTGGATGGGAAGCCAGTTGGATGAGGGATGTGTGTGAAGCCCTGGAAAACACAGCAGTTCAAAGGCTGTGCTGAGTAGGTTTCCAAATAGACTCACCCTCCCAGACTTTGAATTCAAGCTCCATCGGAAAAACACAAGTGTTTGATTCCAAGGGAATGGCTTCTAGTAATAATAATAATAATAATAAAAAGGGCTTTGATGGCTTCTTGGAAATCAGCTTCTATAAAATAGTGTTTTGAGAATTTGAGTGCAAGTCAAGCAGAAACATGGATTAAAATTCTTCCTTTTCATATGCATTCTTTTAAATATTTTATTTTTAAATGTGAAAATAATGTGTGTATACGATTAAAGAATGCAAACAGTACAGAAAAGTACAAAATAAAAAGTTAAGTCTTTCTTCCTCCCTCCCTTCTCATCCTGTCTCATGTGATAACAACTTGTTTCTTTCACGTGTGTGATATGTGAGTTTAAAAATTTTTTTTAAATTTTATTGTGGTAAAATATACATAACATAAAATTTACCATTTTGAACACTTTTAAGTGTACAGTTCAGTGGCATTAAGTATATTCACATTATTGTACCTATGACCACATTCATCTCTACAACTTTTGTCATTTTCCCAAACTGAAACTTTGCATCCATGGAAAAAATCCTTCCCATTCTCCCCTGGTACTAGCCCCTGGTAACCAGTACTCTAATTTCTGTCTCTATGAGTTTGACTGTTTTAGGTATATCAGATAAATAGAATCATACAATATCTGTCTTATTGTCACTGACTTATTTCACTTAGCACAAAAATTTTTTTCGACTATTTTTTATTTAGGTACTAACCTATTTTTAATTTATTTTTGGCTATTTTTTTATTTACACACTAACCTATTTTTACCATAACTCTAATTATATGCTTATATCATGTCACTTAACCTCTCA